GTATCAGCGTTATTTGTTGCATTAATTAATTATTACCTCGGCGATATAATGAATTCAATTAAAGAAAAGATGATCGCTCTCGAAGCAAATTGGTCGTTTATTAACAATAATCTTCATTCAACAGAGTTTAAGTATCAGCTATTTATTCGTACCGCGTCGGCATAAGAGCAATCCGTGTATTATCTCAGTCATTACTATTTAAAGGGCACTATAGTTATTTATGATCCTCGAATTGGGTCATGGTCACAAAACTAAATGAAGAATGAAACGAGTTGACCCGTGTTGTCCTATGAAATACAGTGTTACGGTCCGTCAATTAATTTTATTTAATAATTACGAGCTGAAAGTTATAACACGTTACACGTGGCGATGACTGGCGACTTTAAGTCAACGAAGATTTCAATTCCTATTATAAAACTACGTGAGACCTCATTGTAGACATCAGTTTCGCATTGTTATACTTCCTACTGATTTTAAAGAATTCTAAATTTTGCAAAAGAGAATTCCTTTTTTCTTTTGAAAAATTCGTCTTCAAAGTGTTCTACAGATACCTTGTATTTCGTCGATGGAAGACTTCCTGTCGGTCATCTTTGCCTTACGATTATTACACCGAACTTGCCTCTATAACGTTAAATCGGTTACTGATTCGTTTTCTCAATTGTGTTATCATTTAACACGACTACCTGGTCTTATCAAACGGCACGTACAAATCAGCAGGCGTATTAATCATTTATCTTCGAAATTGTTTGAGATATAACACATATACTCATAAAATAAAATTGGTCAGTTCTTTACAGAAGACTACGTTTAATTATTATTATTGACGGCGGCGAGGATTCTACGAACGCGATCAATGATCTGGGTTTTTATTTGATTTGATGATTAATATGTACACATTACGCACAATACTACTGCGATGCGTGTTTATCCTTGCAGGTAGACCGATTACTCTAATCTGTTCGACGTTAATCTTTTTTCTTCCGGTGAGAACTTGAAGAACTTTTGAACATTGTCATTGTCACGCAGCGATATTTTATTTACAGATAAGTGTGAATACCCTTTTGATAGATACACTTCGAACAATAGCAAATGATAAATCGCAAAATACATGAGTACGTATTTCAGAAATAAATTGTAACAATTCGAATTTCTTAATTTCATTTATTATACTGTATTCCATATATTCTATTC